TGCACAAATTACACTTATTGTGAAGCTGACCCCCTGACCGCTCAGATTACCTAACCAATCACTAGCTCAAGACCCCAGTAGAGCCAAGATGGCGGACATACAAAATGGCTACTGGATGAGCCCATTGGTCTGACATTTTTTTTTCCAATGATCTGGCCCAAATTCTTCAAATGGTTTAACCATCAATAACAACTTAGTTCAAATTGGAGACCTAATATTTCATTATATTTGAACCTTTCTGTAATGACCAATTAAACTTTACTGCGATCGATCAGTCCGCGCTATCGTCGTTTTGTGGAAAAAAAATACTCGCTACCTCACAAAAACAATTTCCTGAACCTGACAGACATTTAGCACTGGTACAATGCACATAATTTTTATTTGCACTGGGCCTGAAGAACCCTTCCCTTCTGGTGAGTTAATCCGCCCCTTACTGCTCTAATGAACACCCAAATCTGCCCTGGAGTACTTTTTTAACCTCATACACAATCACTCCTCAATCATAATCCTGAGATGTACTCTGACAAATCCCTATTCCCATATGGTTAGACTAAAATAAAATTTGCTTTATTGCTATCTAAAGTTTTTCTAAATTTGATGCAAGATCGATCGCTATGAACAGTGATGATGCGACAAGAGCGCCCCTCAGCGGATGTGACCCAAGTAAAAGAAATAGGCGACTTAATCTGTACTAGCTGCCCTTAATCTGACCTGTTATTTAATTTTTCTGAATGACCATGGTACCGCACCTCACATTGACGCCCATTGCTTTTGATCTTGCAATGGTGTACTAAAGGCTTCCATAAACATTGAGATTAAAACGGCCATATTGACATGTGTCGTCAATTGACATGACCCCATCTGCCCTGGACAGTACAATATTTATAGATGTCTCAATCACTCAATTATGAAGGATTAGAGAGACAAAGATCTGACTGGTAAAAGTGACGGCAGTGATATGACAAGCTCAAAAAGGCAAATAAAATGCTATTGTCCATCGCAATAATTTCCTTAAAATGCGGTGATCTGATTTCTTCATGTACGATCTCCTGCAGCGAAAAAAGGCTTTCTTAACGCAACGATTAATAAAGAACATGTCCTTTCTGAATAAATAGTACAGATCCACACTTTCTATTGCACAGGCTTAAGTCAACAGGGAGCTTCTGACACCGTGACAAGAAAAATAGAAAAAGCTATCTGATTGGACAAAAATTTGAAACGATCATACATTAAAGCAAGCCGCCTTAGATTAAATCCATAACCTTTCAATCAACTATTTGACCCGCGTCTGGCATATGCTAATGCACTTACTTGACGTGGCACTAAGCGTGACCCAGACGGCCATGCAAGAACACTAGCGCCATCGTTTTAAAGATGGCCGCCACACTTGATCCAAGCTGACAAATTGTTTTGACGCATGCTTGTAGGGACATAAGGAACAGTAGCATCCAGATTATTAATCGAGTCACCTTGCATAAGAGATATTTTCAACATCTTAAAATTTTTATAAGCAACTTACCGCATCGAAATGAAGACTGGAAATCTCGAATAATTCGAATTCGATTTTTTCAAATGTGAAACATAAATTTGTTCCAAGTAACAAAGTCGATTAAATTTTTTTCGAGGCAAGGTGGAAATCCACATTAAACTCATTGTCAAACTGATAACATCTCTCTATCCGCTCATCCTATTAGCTACAATAGAGCCTCTGATCTTCACATTTCAACAGCAAGCTGCAAACTGAAGTCAAACACATAGGGAACAATTAAGGAATTAACGAAACACTTGAGTGAGTTGCATCATTTGTGAAATGCACCACAAAAAATTGCCAAGGGCATTTACTGTTTTTGCACCAACATTGCGATCGATGCATCCTTTAAATTGACTAAGAAACCTACCAATGAAATAATGCATAAAATATGTCTGCATTATAAAAGGGTTTTGGTGATAGGCCAAAACAAGTCCTTCCTGACTGTTTTCACAAGTTACTGAACCTTACATAATTATTTGATCAAGTCTGACACTGGTTTACATTAATGCAGACTTGTTAAAAGATGCTGAAGGTATTTTATTCACATGTTGGTTCACCTCAGCTGACCTAAATTTTTCCTTAACCTTTTCCTTTTTTTATCTGCACTTTGGGCACAAAAATATTCTTTATTTATAGGCAAGTTCACATTATTTCCATGTTTTAATTGTCATCTCAACAGGCTGATCACAGTACATATGGTCTAACAGGACAGGTACAGATAAATACTACAGTGCCACAAAAAGTGTTCATTTTCAGCTTTTGTCTTTCTGTGAAAAATTTTTAAGTATTTTCTGAGTACATACAATTAATGTTTTAGAACATATGTCATCTGATAATTAAGAAAGATTGTTAAATATAAAAGCACTTTATAAGACAGCAAAGTCAAGGTGGAAGTTCAAAGGCATCGACAGAATTCTCTTGAATGGGGAAATTTACAAATTAAGACATGCCAAGGAAATACGTTTAAATAGGGGATAAATATTGATTCTTTTGTGTAATCAATTGACGAATAGCTAGTATCTATCTAAACTGAACAATGGTGGAAAGGAATAATTATCTTAGTGAACAAAGCAACATATACAGACAGGGCAGAAATGGTGTGAGATCTGCTGGTATTCTGGATGGATAGGTACAGCAACACAGTAGAAAGTGTAGATAATACAGAGGTGGAAAAACCTTAAAAGAGAAAAGAACAAAAAAGAAAAATGACACACAAAAGAAAAAAAAAAAGGAAGTTAAAGACTATACTCCCAACATTGCTATGACCATGGAGATATGTATTCACCAGCAGCTGTCTTGACCTAAAATGTGTACAGAGTTGTATAGTGAATACATTGAGCTGGGTATTGTGGTTATAAAGCAGTGAGGTGTCTGACAGCAGAGTCGGGCATACTCTGTTATAAGGAATATTCAAACTAAGAAAATTATGGGGAAATTGATATAAAACTGATATAATTCAAATACAAAACGACTGCTATTTAAGCATGCATATATAAGGTTATATAGGTGAAATTGCTAGATTGCCAGAACTTTTATATACGACTTGGAAAAGGTTCTTTTGATGGATTTTCAGAGAAATCCATTTCTTCTACTGAGGAAAGGTATCAGCGAATCTATAAATTGACAGAAAAAATATAAGTGCAATTTTTACAAAGACTTTATGGAAACAGAAAATCTATCACAGGAGGGTTAATGGTCTGAGCTCCCAGATTTGTTCTCTCAGTGTGATACAACATTTAGTTGATAATGGTTTAGGTCTTAGCAGTACAGCTTGTCTGTGATCAGTCAATAAAATCATTCAATAGAAACCAGACTTATTTGATCTCCAAAACCAAATAGATTGAAAAAGATTAATTTTTTGTAGCTTAGCATTTCAACTTACATTTATGTATTTATTTTTCTTGTTAGGGAAAAGGTGAAGTGAATTGGTAAAACCAGTTATACCGTCATTCATCTCAATGTTCAGTATACTAGTTCAAGAAAATAGCAGGGTAGTAGTAAGTAATGCTTATACTCAATACTGGCAACTGAACATATAGTAATCATAGGTTGGTGGCTCCAACGTGACCCCCCCCCTCTCCCATAAATCTTCACCAACATCATAAAAAAGGCATTGTAGGTACTACTGGTCATCTTTGGCATGACTAGCTGTGGACAAAAACATTAGGAACTACTTTACAATTAATACCTATACTCGCTAATCTGTAAGGCTTGATAATTCAGTGGAGCATTTTTTTAAAATGAGTATTAACTGTGTTTCCTTAATTCAACATTTTGCTTAATTTCAACCTACAAGTACATTTCACAAGTTCAACAAAGAGTCAGTTGCTGGGATTCACAGTGCCTTTCAGAGAAGTTCACTGTGACATCACTGGAACATTCAAGCACACATGCTACTGACATTCCAAATGAAACATGAAAAATGAAACCTGTTAGACAACAATGAAATCTGTAATAAGAAAATGATCTAGAATCTCAGAATCTGGCTGCCAGCAAAATCTGATGAATTCTGGAAAGCATATATCTGTGAGAACTATCTGCATCAACCTGGTACCAGTTTAACATCCACCTCAGTCTCAGGTTTTCTTCCATATCATAGCCTAAAGAAATAAACTGATATATACTTTGCTGTAATCCAACCTGACCAACACTTTCTGGTGTAACTGTACCCAATGCTAATATACAGGGTATTCAAAAGGTCTCTACACATCTTTAATACAGGTTTCTGACTTGTGTGTACAAAGACTCTGAGAATATCCTGTATAATGGCAGTATGTCTGCATCATTTAGCTGTTGTTATAAAGATGAACAAATGAAAACTATATTTACTTCAATTTCAGAGAGGTTTTTTAATGATAATGATAACAAGGATGAAAATGCCATTTAGCTAAAAAGTGGAAAATATAGCGTGGGGTCCAGGGGCCTTATGATATTTTTGGCTCCCAAAAGTGGGAAATCTGCCAATAGATGAAAATATTTCATCCCTGTAATAACTTATTTTAGAACAAAAAAGTTAACCAAACAGGTAACTTTCACTCTTGCCACAAGAACATCATCAGGCTGAATGCCCACAAGTTGTTAGAATTTGGTTGACCTGTGATTGACCAACTTCCAATGACTTGTGGACATATTAATGTTCCAAAGTAAGTGATATGATCATTATCACTAAAACACATTACTTAACATAAACAATCTAACAACAATCATGAACAATATATAAGAACTTCTTTCAAAATATTTAACATCAATACTTCTACGACATATTTCTGTAAAATCACAATAAGTATACCGTGACTCTCTATTTGGCTCATTTTACAGTCTTTGTATTAGCCATATAACCGCAATGCATCTTTAAACATAAAACCAATGTTACAGTAATCTTTAACATCTGTTTTTTCAAATAACATTTATCTAATATCAAGCAATTGTATAAGAAAAATGGCAGCTTTATCAAGCTGTGTATACATACGGTACTTCCCACACTGAAGACATGACAGTAGTGTTTCCCCGCCTGAAGGTCCTTGGTGATGTAGGCAAAATAGTTGAGGTTGTCTGCATCCTGACAGGCACAGAAGATGTTGCTCACTTCATGTTCGCAAATTACTTTCTGAAATAAAGAGAATAATCAACTGCTCTCATAAAAGTCACAAATTATACCATGTTTGCTAATGTGGCATACTTGGTTTAAGCTAACTTTAGGCAGTCATACGCCACAAGTTCTTAATGAGATACAAGTAGTTTAAGGGATAAAAACTGTTCAATTTGGTGAGAAAATTGCCTTAAAAAGGAATTTCCTGGGGTAAGTGATGATCTTCCCATGCATACCAATGACCAATAAATCTGTACTCATTCAAAGTTAGTCTATTGTTTTTCTTTTTTAAGTGTGTTCTTTGTCATAATCTTTTAAGAGGTAAAATATATGGGATATTAATTTTAGAATCCATTCACCTACAGAGACAAATGAAGCAATGTTAATTCTTGGCCACTGCAGACACTGTAACATATGAAGACAAAAATGAAGCCTTTTTTGTTTTTACAAAGAGAAACCATGACTCTATGCTAATTAATTAGTTACAGTTACATTTAGTTTCTTTTCCCAATTCAGATTAGACACAGACACTTAGTGTAAATAGTGGAGATTTCCACTGATAATGTAATGACCTGGTCACATGAATATTAAATGAGACTAATTAAATTAGCTATATCCAGTACCCACTTTTTAGTGTGTAATTCACAAAAAATGATTTTATGTCATCGCTGTTTAACTGCTGATTCAGGATCACACAGCATGCTTTCCCAACTCTATGAAGTTAAGTGTACTCTTCACTGATAATTTTTATATGCGTTTAATTTTACATTTACAAAATTTATGAATACAAAGCAAAATACGATACATATTCTAAGTGGAAGGCTTGTGCACAAGAAACGACTTCATGTCACCTCTGTTTAACCGCCAATTCAGGATCGCAGCATTCTTTCCCAACCCTGTGAAGTTAGGTGTCCCCATTCCTGATAATTTGGGTATGTGTTTAATCTTACATTTTTCAAAATACTATACATATTCTAAGCGAAAAGCGTGCTCACAAGATCGGCACCATGTTGAAATTTTGATGCCCATGTCCTAATATTGATATTCAGTATCATGGACGTGCAGATATACTTCCTTAGAGATGTTAAGTAAGTGTACATGATATATTCAGTTTTAGGGGTGTTTTTGGTGAAATGTGAGTATTTTTCCCTCGTAGTACACTTCCACCCTCACACGAGGCTTGAGGTTTTCTGGCATATATTGCTCAGGTTGGCAGTATATTTTTCACACACACACACACACACACACACACACACACACACACACACACACACACACACACACACACTACTTAGTAATTTTAGTATTATTCCACTCTATATTATGTGTTTAAGGTCAATTGTTAACATAATCCCCAAATGGTGCGGTTACTGTTTGTGGTACTGGTACAATATCTAAATAACTATTTATCTAAATAAATAAACGGTAATCAAAATAGATATCTTGACATTGGACATGTTTTCTTGCAAAAGTTAAGGATTAATGCTTAAAGAGCCAAATTTACAGATTTTAAACACAGATTAAGTACATTAACCACTTTTTGCTGGACATATCTGAGTGCGGGAAATACTTTTTGATCATTTTCAGCAGGTAAATGCCATGAATTAATATTGGAAAAAAATCTACCACCTCTTGATACCCTCCATGGGTTAAGGGTACTTTAATTTTTCCAGATTTTTATCATTATGGTGAGTGTCAGAAAAGCTGGACCAAAGGTTGGTTAGTCAGAAAAAAATACTGTTTACCCAAGGAAAATTTGTTAAGTTTGAGTCATTTGTGGGGACATCTTATACTGGTCGTCTTACATTAATAACATGTTTACTATTAGTTAAAATATGTGCACCACAATCCCTGAAACTTTTATGATAGGGCCTAACAGAAACCTTAAAACTGATAACTAGTTTACAGCTACATAGTTAAATTAAATTGAAAATTTTTCACAGAAGTGTTTACCTTTAGCTAGACCCAGATTCAGAGCAGTTGTCGACCAGATTATTATTATTATTTATTTTTAATTTCAAACCTGCCTGCTTGTCATAACTGTATTTCAGCTTAAGGTGACTGAAGATTACCACACCAATCGAGGGTCTGAAAACTACATCACGCCCTTCGTCAGAACTACCAAATCCAGAGAGTTATGTGGTGTTAGTGATTGGATGCGGGTCAAAGTATTGGCATACACATACTGGGATTTTTAAATGGGGATGCATCAGATGTGGAGCTCAGGGTAACATCTGATCTAATTAAGGACTTCCTTGATCTAATTGAACTGTAATAAAATTCAATATCTGAAAAGTCAAAGCCTGCATTTTCTCTAATTTTTTAAACAGATGCAGGTAATGGCTATATGTACAGACACATCTGTGTCTGTACATAAAAAGAAAAAAAAAATATTGCATAACTTTTGGAAAAAATGGTCCCATCAGGCTTATTTTCGAACTAGACCTGTATTTTATCAATATTTATCAGTTTTGAAAGTTTGAACACAAAAAGTAAAATGGTTTTCATTTTATCTGTAAAAGCATAAACCATTATTAAAACCTAACAAACCCCGATTCTGTGACTTGACTTGACAATCATTAGGATTTTTAAAAAATCATAGAAAAATTACAAGAAGTGCAACAAAATTATGAAAGGGGGCTGTGTAAAAATACTAATTTAGATTTAAGTCAATTATGAATGGAGTTCCAAAAAAATAGGTGAAAAAAAAGAAAATGTTTCAACAATATAACTACCTCCTAGTTAAATGCTTAAACTATCAAGATTAACTTGTTCTGCTTTGATAGTTTCTACTAATTTGTACAGAACATTTAATTAGGATAATTAATTATTTAGCTGTCTCGTTGTGCTTAATGTGTGGTGTAACAGGTGCACAAATATCCTAATATTCTATTATTTAGTGATGCTGAGCATTTAATATTTATCATATTTAAATTTATATGTTCATAAAACCAATTTTTATAGACGATTAGGGTAACTTGTGAATCCCACTGAAAATCATGATTTTTAAATACAAGATCCTTGTTCACTTCATAATATATCTTGGAAAATGTTTGTATATTCTAAAATGGCAATTCTTTTTAACAGCTGTGCAATGATCACATACCCTGGACTTGGCATCAATGAACTTCACTCCCTTATAGGATATGGATAATTGTATGGTTGGCACTTTAGCTATGGAGTCTGTTGATTTCTGGAAAAAAAGAAACATTACCATGTAATCATCCTAGAACCTTACTGCAATATGACCAACCACTAGCTTTCACTTCTTTGTCTGTTAAACAAAAGCTTCGTATCATATTTCTTATATTACTGAACAGAAACCATGAAATCTTGATACCTAACCTTAAAGACTTTGTGCAGCCTAACCTTACAGACTGACTTGACAATATACCTGAAAAGTAAGTTAAAACAAGTCGACTATCAACCATTTTGACTCCTCACAAAATGACTTCGCAAGCGTTAAAATCCCACACCTCGTCTGACATCGATGCCACAGACACGCAATAATTTTCAGTCGAGCTCACCAGATCAGCAACACCTTTCAATCACTGTTGTTCCATTCATTCTGTCAATAGTAACAAAGACCAACGTTCTCTTAGAACATTTCAACAGCGATCCATGCAATGCGCAGTGCTTCATAATGTCTACAAATGTCTGGTGCTCGAATACCGACTACCGTCTGTATACTGTACAGTATGCAGTTGTTAACGAATGCGTCTTTATTTGAGCGTATGCAGTCCGTTGATTCTACAGTCATGGTGAGCTGCACACAAATTTTCCACTTTACTGCTTTTCCATCAAGCGTCAAGTGAAACATAACACTCATGTAGCAGAATACTACTTGACTATCTATCCACTCATGCCAATCACTTCTATCATATTGAAATAGTGCTTTCACATCCCCAGGATATTTGATAAAGATCAGACTTTTGAAAAAATAAACTAAATTATTTTAGTCTGAAATCTCTGTACCTTGGGGGGTCAGGAGGGGGCACAGACATGCGCCGTGCACCAGACACACGACTGCGCAGGGTCTAAACTACACGCTTTTCTGTGAATGCATCATGAATTCACACATGCAATAGGAAATCAGGTACCGTGTCAACACCACATTCCTACATATACCCTAGTAGAATTCCAGACATATATTACCCAAGACTGTCTAAGATTATACACACACACTCACACTTCTTGTGCACTGGGGGATGAAATGTGTTTGATAAAAAAATGGAAATAAACAATACAGCATAAGTGTTTGTATTTCACTCCCAGACAGTCAATTGAGCCAAACTCTATCGTTTTACAGATTATTAAACTCAATGTTCTGCATGAATAAGCCGTGTTAGGTTGCATCCAGGGCAGTCTGCTGGAACGGACTGATACGCCTCATTTTGTTCACTCAACCAGTCAGCATGCAGCCTTTCACTGTTATTAAATACACCTGATAAATACAAATATTCAAGTTGAAAAGGGAGACCTCTGGCAAATATTATCCTTTTTTCACACTAAGTCAAGCTAAGCGTGTCTGTTTAAACATATATGAGTGTCTTGATTCTCTTTCAATGGCAATTTTTATTGTATTGGTCAAAGTTAGCGCACACTAATGTTTTTTATGTGACATTTGAAATAAATCACCTGTGATTTTCCTGTAGTTTACAAGTGACTTAATTTGTGTTAAAGCAAAGTCACACAGGTTTTAAGGTCAGTGCGTAGCTAACTTCGTGTTAACCTTACGAACAAACATGAAAATCGATTATCGAAACGCAATAAAGTGTTCCCCAAAATGCGTTTTCGAAGCGTTTCTTTGCTGCTGAGAGCAGCTATCAAACTTTCTTATGCAGCCATTCTATACTCATGCTGCCATTTTCAATCAACCATAAATATATATTACATTTTGCATGCAAAAAACATCTCATCTAAATTGCTGTGTACTAAATCTTAAATAAAATGACATAATGCAATACAAATCGGTAATAGCACTTAGGTAGCAGAGATGTAACTGTACTAAGAAAGCATGCCAAGCATAAAACTGAAATGCACATATTCATATATATATATATATTCCATTTTCTTAAAATTCAAAATAATTTTGGTAATGCAATGGAGAGAGATTAAAGAGATTAAACACAGTTCATTCCAAAATATATCTAAATAAATAATTTGAAATGATTTACAGAAATTAATTAAGAAAACATTCATATAACATCCAATTATCACAGCTCAGATGTGGATCAATCAAGTTTATTAGTAAGTTACAATTCATTCAAAGTTTTTGTGTTCTCAAATTCTTTTTGCCAGATATACAACTACTTACTTTCTATGATAGTTGATGTAACAAGGGCTGTTGGTTTTAAATGTGTAAAGAAGCCGATTAACAAAAAACAAGTAAGAGCAATTCCCCAATTTAATAAATATTACTAAAGCAGTTGTTTAACATATAGCATATCTTGAAACTGATGCTACCTAACACTTGACAATTAGTTTCAATTACGTTTTGAAAGGAGGGAGAGAGCACACCTCATGCCATCTAAAAATTATTCTGTTCAGATAAAAGCCTGTAGTGTGCAACCTCAGCATACAACTCTGGTGGGGTTTGCACAGGTCTATTCCATGCTTCTTGATGCAAGAACTTCAGCTCAAGGCATTCATTATCATTAGCAACTCTTATAATATCATGGTCTCTTGAATTGAACAATATATCACACCATCACCAACACAGATTAATTTCCAAACTGACACTTGAACCATCCTGCCAAACCTTACATTGCCTGACATCATGCAAACATGGGACAGAGGAGATATCTTCTTGCTTTCAGAAACCATGACTCCGTGCTCTACATCAGATGGCAACATATTTTCATTTTACTAAGTAATCAGCCACCTGGATTTAAGTTCCAGCTTCATGTCTTATGTATGCCCTTAAGTGGCTTTTGGAAATTTGGTATGTATTTCTCATACTTACTTTCATTTTTAAAATCCCTTCTTTTGTTGAGTCTATTCCTTGAAGATCTTTAACAAGACATGAACCAAGGTACTGTAAAAGCAAGAATAATGTGATTAAATTTAGAATAATTTTCAACATAGTTATGTTTCAATACAAAAACAATTTTGTCATACATGGTCTCCTGAATGAATCCAAGTGGTCATAAATCAAAGTAAAACACTTTCCCAACTCCAACAAACAACTACATAAATAAATATTAAGGCACATAATACACACCCATGCACACACGCGCACACACACACACACACACACACACACATTCACACACGGGTCTTCTGTGTACCTGAGCTGTATAATTGCAACATCCCTTAATGAGCACCTCAGGCCTATGTCGCCACTTCTTGACTGGACTCTGTGTGTGAGCAAGGTGTGGGGGGCGGATGTTGATAGCATCATCTCTTAATCCAACCTGCTGTGTTCAAGAGATACATGTATCAAACTCAAAACTAGAATGATGATGAAATGGCAATCCTTACAGTTGCATATGCCATCAATCAAAGAACTAACTGACTTACAATTAATTACAAGATACTGAATAACACAAAGATCCCAATTGAAGTTGTGCACACAAACCTATCAATATTCTCAAGTATGATTTGAAAACACCTGTAATTAAAAAACAGTCAACCAAAACAAAACTCAATACAAATGTCTGCATTTGAATTTTGCTTTGATTCTTGAAGATTAATATAGATATATTAAAATACTGCTTAATGTTAACATGAAGGAAGACAGCATCTTTAACAAACTCTAGAAAATGCCAACAGTGTGTCTTTATGACAGTCTTTACCGGATCAGACCCTTCTGTCGTGTCCTTCTTATTTGGATTCAGTGGAATGTGCTCTGTTGATTCTGGTTCAAAGTGTTGGCCCTGGTAATTAGGTTTCACACTTGTGTAGTCTTTATAAAGGTTAATATCTGTGGCTTGTTTTGTGGTCAGGTACTCATCTGGGATGGAAGTCTTGTCTCCTGTTAATGGACTGAGATTCCATTTCTGTAAAATTGAGACAGCTTGGTTTTTAATTATAATATAAAAATACACTAAGGTTATTTAGGGAAAATAACTACAAAAACAATGTGAAAATATTAATTTTATTTTGCTGATTAGTTCAATGCATAACAATTGTTACCCATTTCTCAACTAACACAATTACGTCATTTAGCTCCATAAGAATGTCAAACTGTCCAAAATTAAAAGGTATAACATTCTTATCAAACATATATCACAAGTTTGGTAAAAAATGCTTCTTGTTTCCCTAAAATAAGTGGTATCAGCTATTTCAAAGTTTCATAGCTTGTGTTATACACATTTAACTCACTGAATCATCCGATATGATTTTTTTTTCCTCTGGCCGTTCTCCAAGAGATGCTAGGATTCTTTTCCTGTGTCCTAGAGTGGTAATACCAAGTACCTGAAGAAAAAGTGCAGAAAGTGAAGCATTGGGGTGATAAATTTTACCAAATGAAAAAAAATTTATGAACATTTTTCTTTTTAAAATAATGAATTTTCATCATTTCACATTTTTTTGGCACCAAATTAAAACCATTTTTGGCATATTTACCACAATATTGTTTCTGATCAATAACACATACAAAGCTTCTTCACTAAACAGGTGATGTTTCACCTACCGTATCTAATTCTAATACCCATATCTTCCGCACTCTGTCCATGCTTGTGAACCCATTATTCAGGAATGTTTCAGTATACTCTTGAAGCCGTAAGGATGACAACCATTCTTCCACTGATAAGGGCAATTTTTTGCTGCCTTCAAATCAAAGATTTAAAAGTAGCTTTACCTATACAGGAATCTTTCCTCAACAATAAAACATTTCTTTAATATGAAAGTCTGAATAACAAGTGAAGTCTCAATCAAGACTAGAATCTCTCTTTGACAGAAGACCATTGTAATTACATGTATCCATTAACCATATTTTGAAGTGACTATATATGCTTGTACCAAAAAGCTCAGTGTTACCTATAGGTCGGATTGGAGTTAAAGTTTTAGCTGCTTCTACAATTCTATCTCTGTGTTCTTGGTTGGTGATCCCAATCTCAATAAGGTCCTGGTCCTCAATAATTGTGCCACCCTAGTAAAACACAATAAAAATATTTTAAAAAATTAATTTCTTTTTGTTGGTTAATAATATTTTTTCATAACAAAAATAAAAATTGATTTTAACAAAAGATATTTTAGAAATGACAAAATTCATTAACATGTAAGTAAAACCATCTTTGTTTATTCCATATCTATTTATCAGAAATAAAATGAGAACATAATGCTGCGTTACTTTTATTTGCAGGGTATAGGTAATTATTGTCATGGAATATCCATGAAGAAGATTGTGATCATGCTTTCAAATCTTCTTTTGCTTCATACATGTATTCAAAATTTTGAAATCCCACATTTTTTAATTGATCATTTTTTACATCCTGGCCATTACAGTCAAAATTCAGTATCAACTGCTGCCATTATAAGCCTCCTGTGAGATCTGGAAATTCTACAAAAGAAATCAAAATCTTTTAAACATTGCATACCAAAATCACAATACAAAAATGACCCCTTTACCATGAAGTGGTCAACATAAAGTTTTCTTACCAAAAAATCCATATCATCAAAACCATTGGCCACCATTGTATTTTCATACTGCCCTAGTCCCATGTCCTGTAACCAGTCACCTACGCTTTGAATCTTCTGCTCAGCTACAGCGGAAATAGAACTTATGATTTCAGATAAATCAAGAGAAAAAATTAGTATAAAAAATTAAAAAATCTGTACAACACCATATAGATAAGAAATTCAGTAGAAAAATAACAACATCAAAAATTGAAGAAAGAAGGAAGTTGACTGCTACTGCAAAATTCTCTAACACAATCTATAACCCAGCATACCATTACTCACATTTAAAAATTAAAAAGGAACAAATTAATGAACTGAATACTTTAATAAAGGATCCTATTTTCTTGTTTTCTTTTAAGGAAATTTGCTCCACTTATACTTTGAGAGAATATGTGTGATGACTTCTGAAAGCATTGGCAGACCATATTATATGATGAAGTTATAGCATTCCCAGCCGCCTTATATTGTTTAATAGCAACAATATAGAAGCAAATACACTTTGGAATGACACCTTTTCAGTACAGATCTTTGTTAATGTATAAATGTACAAGTGATATCAACCTTTACTTAACTGTTATTAGATTTGAATTGACAAACTATTAATTAACTTTATAAATCTCCACAAATACATTACAGCAATGTTTGGTGTCTACAGTGTATATCTCATTATCTTAAATAACAGCAATTTTGTGCTAGGTGGGGAGAGAGTGTATGTAAAATGATGTTTGTGTTTAGTGATAAACTAAGTGTATATATTGGACCAAATGTGAACCTTGGCCTTTGTTGCATATCATGTGCGTTACCTGCCAGCAGCTGTGCAAATTGTGCTTCAAAGTCTCGTATGAATACTGATTCCCGAGCGATGCCACTTCCAAATGAAGCCATGATGTTGGCAATCTGATTAGGCATAAAGCAGAGGATTAATCAACAAGTCTGTCTGTCATGCATATACCATGTGACATACATGGAAGCACAGTCCAGGTTGCTACCAGGCTCTTTTCTCTTTATAACAATTTGTGACAATTTTAAAAAAGATGAGCACCGAACTCCTTACGGTTCCCAGGTTCTGCTTGGTGATCTAGTGGTACACCACCCTACAAATCAAGCCAAATATAAACCATGCTAAATAAGTAAACAACATCCACCATGCAGGAAGCAGCTACAAGAAGATTTTAGGGGTGTCACCTTCTACTGCAGGTGGTCCTAGGCAAAGAAGCAGGAAACATGCAGGATAAAGATCCATGGTGAAGAACAAAGCTATATAATACAGAATCAGACATGCTTTCCTAATGAAATGGAAATCACTTATACAGAAAGTCATTATAAGGTGAATTAAAGAAAATAATTTTAAGGTATCTCTTGACATTTTCTTATTGAATAATGTTTATTGAATAGTGATGCAAAATTGGATTTCACTAACATTTCCGTAAAATATTATATTTTACAGATGTTAAGTTTTTTATTGTTGTTAAGTTTTTAGACTATCAAAGTACCAATGGCAATGTATTTCATTCAATGAAAAAAATCATATAAAATTTTTTAGTTAGTAGTCATTTATCTAAACAACGTTATGATTTCCATTTCAAAATAACAAATGACAAAAGTGCAGACCGTTATGGATCCCCTGACCATGTCTTTATTGTAAGCCATGGGGTAGAAGTTACAAGTAGATGTACAAATCAAAAGAGGTTAGAACTATTCTAACCACATACAAAAAGCTACCTTGCTGAGACATGAGGGAAGCAAGTTCATTGTCAAACTCGAAGAAAGCACAGTCCCCATCATCTGATATGCTGAGCTTGCCGCCATAGCTTTTTAGCACATCTGCAATCTGTAACATTACAATTGTATCAAACAAGAGAAACATACATATATGAAATAACTGGGAACCAAAAAAGATGACAGTAATATATCAATCTATTTGCCATGACAGTAAAAGCCAGGTCTTCCATATCAACCATGCTGCATTGAGGCCAAGCACTGCTGAGGCACCTGTATAGAGAAATAGATATACTGATATAAGGCAGTGAGAAGAGATTGATGAATGCACCTCTACCACATTCACGTCTGCCATTCCTGCTCATCTGCAAATAAAACAGAATCTATGACTTCCTCTGCATCAACTCCAGTCAATTAAACAATTAGTATTCACACACACAGTGCTGGTTACATATCAGACAACAGTTACAACTAATTCAAGTAGTCAAATGCCAATTCTCTACACATTATAATCTACAGTTTTCCAATTTATAAATAAAAAAAAAAAATTATAAAAAGATGTTATTATCATTGATGTGTTTTACTTTTATACTCTGAATTAACATGCTTTTCAATCCACTTAACCACAGGGCTACACAGACCTATTGCTGAACAAATAAGAATCTAATAAAAACAAAAGAGATGAAAACAACAATCTCGTTCTCCTTCAGGAGCAAACAGACCGTTTTCACTGTTTTCATTAGTACAATGCAATTTAAATGCAAACCACTTGTTTTAAATGATTTTGTCATGACATTTAGAGTATTTGCTAATTTTTTACCAATCCTATACAAACATCTGTTCTTCAATTTCCAGTATTTCCCAATGAACTTAATTTTCAACTTAATCAATTTTGGGGGCATCTAGAATGCCAATTCAAAAAATGCCAGAGAACCAACAACACAGTTTCTGAGTATAGGACAAGGTATACTAAACTCCAATACACTGAAGGTTTATAAGTTGATATTTTGAAGCTTATTTAATGCAGAGATGTGCTGGTAAGCAAAAATCAATATCCTATGCCACATATTTGAACAGTGTAGCTCAAACCACTTGAGATAATAATAATAAAGCTGTATGGGATAATTGGACAAGACATTTCCAGTAAAATGTCTGCAACAGTTGTATAATGCATGGGAATGGGAACTTTGGAGAAATGTAGACCACTTTTCACTTATTACTGTCATTAATAACATTGGTTGAAATATATGAAATAAGACACGAACCTGTTACCAAATTAATTCTAATTCTTGACTGTGATACAGAGAATTAATTTATATTAAAGAAGTATGTTATTCAATTTTACAGTAATTCAATCTTTCTTTTTATATCAATGTAACTAGATAAAGAGAAATACTCCAAAATTTGTTAAATAAAAATACTGAATTAATCACAAACTTGTTAAATTTTTTAGCATTTAAGCTCTATGTGTGACTTTTATCTCACCTGTGCCCACTCTTCTGTTTCATCAATGGAATTTTCATCTTCTTCCTGTTCTTCTTCTGCTGTCCTCTCTCCCTCTTTTTCCTCACTTATGGAGTCCCCCATTCCTTTTGATTTCTCAGAGTCCTTCTTCTTCAGTGCTTCATATGCAAGATACGTACTTCCTGGAGCCGATCTTCTTTTTGATGGCTTCCTCAGTCCTCCTGGCTGTATGTAGACATTTTCATAGATCTGGGATACCACCTTACGTTGTCCTCCTGGTATGGAGCCTCTGATTAGACCTGGAATGGTAATATCCAGGATGGAAGTCAATCAATAATCTAAAATAGACGTACAAACATCAATCATGACAGAGATGACACAGAGGATAATTTCCATGACTATCTTATAATATCCACATTCATCACAGCATACTTAAGCAAGTAATCACACATCTAGGATCTAGTCTCCAAGAAAGACAGCAAAATTAAAAACTTTCCAAATCGTCGCAAGAAATGCAAATGTCTCTGCCATTTAGGACTCAAACCTGCACTCTCCCTTTGTCAAGGTCCAGCAGAACACACTTAGCATTCATTAAGTATCCACAGGATCTTGTACATCCATTAATGCAAACCAGCATTCAACTTTCTACGGCACACACCTTATGCAGTGTCATACATCTTTTAACTCTGGCACTGGCTGGCTAGGTAGCTAGCTAGACACCACTGTCAAAGAGAGACAGCATAAATAGTTGATCAATATTAAAATTTACAACTTTATCCTTCAGGTCTTTCTTGCCAATTTGGAATACACTAGATTTTGTCTCATGTAACCAGCCAATCAATGTTCCAAAATTTCTCTAGGTGATTGGTAAATGAATTGATTAGCCACTTTCATGCATGCTGATTAAGGCTGAGGACACACTGGAATATCCTAATACAAGATAAAATGTCGAACAATAACAACACTCTTACATGAGCAGTTATCAAAATCAACAATTTTGGTTAATGGTAAATGCCTTGTGAAAATATAATTTCCTGTGCATAGATATGTTGTTTGGGATCTCACCTGCCTCATGTTTATTCACATATGCTGAAACTGACACATTATGAAAGTATAACTGTGAAATAGTGCTCCACCTGGAGCAAGGACTAACCCTATTAATTAGTCTAAGGTAATTACATTTGGCTGTGATTAGATTGTGAATTTTGATTGCTAAATTTGCTAGCAGCTGCACTAGCTAATCATCTTTTGATTTGATTGAATTAAAAAAATGCAGCTGAGATGGCGATTTTAATCACTTTATGAAATATGGCAAATGAAACTAAAATAATTTGTGAGAGACTGGCTAAATTACACATTTCTGCTATGTGCCTTTTTTTACTTTAAATATGGTAATAATTCACAAATGTCAAACACTTCTTTATCAAAATTTCTAGAGATTTTTTTTTTTTTTTTTTTTTTGCTTGTTTAAAACTTTTGGCCTAAACACTACTATGTATCATCCAAATAAGTGGAAATACAGCTAATTTTGCATGAATTAAGTGTGTTATCACTGCAGCATTTATTTTTAATATTTGGAAAATCAAACACCGTACACACCAGATTCTTACAAATATGGTATAAAGACTCACCTTCAAAATTCTACACAAAAGAACTGTCCTCTTAAATAGTACTTCATTCAGAGCATGTAAAACAACCACTGCCTGTAGACCAGTGCATGTACATGTACCTACTGCACTTAGCTCAATTATATATAACAAGATATTGATCCAAAAAGTACCAATCTGGAATTCTCCCAATTTCCCTTTAGACAGTTATTATCATGTACAGTGCACTTCTGCACCAGCCTTGCCAATATCCATTCAACTGTTATGGAAGATATTGTGGAGCAGATAGTCCTTCATGTGTTATTTCCAAATAACAGAAGTGGGCATAAATGTGAAAGATACAGGTGAAACTATTTCAGGTGACTGTAATAAATGTCAACATGGCAGGGTCACTGGACATTAACAATGCTGTACACTGCACTGATACATAACTCACAGATTCAGTGTTCATATAGACAACATCTACAACATCAACACCTACCAGTACCATTTCAAGGACTGTTAAACAATAGCATGGAATGTTAAATTTGCTTTGTTCTGAGATAAGCACCACTGGCCTCTAAATACCGTAATACTATGCTCATAAAGATATCACGCTATCTTTCAACGTTTCTCCATTTCCAAGCCATATCTCAGGACCAACCTCGGGTATAAAAAGCTCCACTGTTGTAATCTTGAAAAATGTGGCATAACAAACGTCTTGATTACTTTGATTATGGAGCGCTCTGTCAGATTTATACCCACTGCATGAAGCATTTGAGCAGTGCACGTCAGAGTGGTTTTCCTAATTGCACATGACTGGCTCTGGCCATCTGTTGCCAGCCTCATTCTGCTTAATTACTACATCAAAGCCACGATGCTTTGTGATTTTCTAAGAATGTGTTGTAATTTTATAAAGTCAACTCTTTAAGTCTTTGAAAAACCACAGCCTTCTTTAGCTGCCAGCCAGAGAAGTCAGACCATCTGTTCCCTTGTAAAATGTTCAATATTTAAGGTGTGTAAAGTATGGAAAAACAACTAGTACATACATGCAGGGCAGGTAAAACATTTGCACCTGTGACCATGTAACTTGGCACAGGGGATAAACATGCATGGTCAGTAGATAACAACTGGGCAAGATATTTCATAAAGGAATCATTACACAATATAAAACTTCCTCAGAAGGCATAATTTATGACTGAGGAAAATGAAGTGATATATGGATATTGTGACATCACAGAAGCCCCAGGTGTAGATGGAAATGTACATCCCAAATGCTGCAAAATTAACAAAAGCAAACAGTTTTACTTGTAGTAAGCAACTTATACATGATCCTTTCTTTGCAGTCATCTAATAATCCATGTTTGGAGGACCAATCAATACAACATGGTTAAACTAAGTGTTTGTGTTATCTATTTATCTCTGAAAATAAATGAATACAACCTCAAATCTATGCTTGATATAAAATGCACTCATGCCTGCACTATCTATAGCAGGGATAAGTCAGCTGTGTGATATGTTAATTGACCATCAATATTTTCTTGCATGAAGAATTTCAATCAATATGATCCACAGAAAGAACAGAACTTGCCAATGGTTCTTATATCATAGTAAAGCTTAAATTCGGTTAATTATTTGGTTTTCTTAGTTAGCAGGAATGCCTTAATCGCTGACAGTATATTTTAAATTGCAGTCAAGACTAGCAATTTTGAGTAGAATTGGGAACATTTTCTTGATTTAAAACCAGATGGCTGTCTGTAATGTGTTAGCTCCACAAGTGTTTAACAAATGGGAAAGAGAAAATAATTATGGTGCATTCATCTTTTTTGGTTTAAAAATAAAAATAAAAAACAGTACACGATCACCCTTATCTTTAACTGATTTATAAACGAGGTACATAGTACCGTAGTAATAGAAACAACCTATCTTCCAATGAATTATTGTCACACAGATTACATCATACACGTATACATCAAGAAATCTTACCTGTCCTATCAAATTCATGTGTAGATCCAACAGCATTCAACATTCATACAAGTTACGTATCACAACATCCCATAAACATTGTTCTCCTTACAAGTGGTACTATGGCAGCTCCTGACACCAGTGTCCCCTCTTGTACTCACTTGATTAATAAGAGTGTTGTCAATAATAACACATTCGTATTCTATCAGATAACAATGGAGAAGAGCCATGAGTGAGTAAGCCTATTGTTTTAAGGGTATATGTATTAATGTTCCTCACTGACCCTGTTGTGTTAAATGCTGCTGGCCTGCCTCCAAGGAGAAATGGGAGACTGCAGGCTGACTGCTGCCCAGTGATATCTTTATCTATAATTCCAAGGGAAAGGTTTGGGATTTCTTGTCCCTGCTGAACCAGACTGAAAGTTTTCACTGGTAAGCTCTGCTATACTGGAGTGGAACAGCCATACATAAATGACATTTACATGGATTAGAAGCCGCTATGTGTTTAGAATGTTTTTATTGGTAACATTTACCATTATGCATTTTTTCATTCAATGCTAAATACAAATGAGAAAAAAAAGATATTATATTATCACAATGCCTTGCAAGTTTATTGATATCATCCATGTACTTATTTTCCTGCACATAATAGCCATCCTTTGAGAGTCATTACATATACTCTAATTGTTTTGAAGGGCATAAAAAACTGACTCTTTATGGCAATTCTGTAGAATATCCATCTACAAACTTACTGATAACATCATAGCTGACAACAGTTAGAATTTCAAACAAGTCTGAAAAAGTGTATAAGACAGAAAAGGAGCTGTGCGTAAGGAGGATAAGATTTAAGAAACCAAAACTTTCAATAAAAATTCAGGAGGAAAGATACTTCAGTCAGACCATTGCCAACCATACAACACTGTGGGTCCCTGTCCATACTACAACTGTGACAAGGACAATTAAATCCAAATTAATCAGTATCCATGTAAAAGTTCATGTGAAATCATGTCCAGAGGGTGAAACCAGGCTTTTCTTATATATCAGTTCCATTTAAATGTCTGTTTAATTAATAACTTAACTTTATGTATCCCAATTAGCTTCATAAGAAGAAATATCAATTTGGCTTTTATAATTCACAAGATGCCAATATTCACTTTGTTATTTCTGAACGAGTTCAATCTTTAGTCGGGAAGTAAGGTTATGGCGGGCAAAATATTTCCTCATGACCTTAATTTGAATTCTTTTTTAGAACAAAATGATATTTTTTGCAACTGCAACAGTTTCATAAAAATAAAGAACAGAATGCTTTTGCGTTTTCCATCACTAACTACTGTAGCTAACTGATTTACATACCAGTTTGGTAGAGAAAGAATATTCCCCTGAACTTTAAATATAAAATATAAAATGTATTATGAGTCAGTTTCAAATATGCTCAAATGAAAAAATAATCAGCAACTGTATTTCACATTTCCCAGAAACCTATTCTTGTTATCTTGCTGCATAAAAACACTGTGGAATGGCAGTGACACATATGAGTGGCAAAAACGCTGCCTCTATGAACACCGTATAATATCTCCATCACCACTTTATCTTATCTGCCATCTCCACAAGTACAACTATCTGTATAGTTACTTACCTGGCTTTATCACAACCATGCACAATGACTTCCTTCCAGGCTGTAGACTTAATTACACAAGCAGGTGGAGATGAGGGAGGGGGGGGGGGGACTAAAAGACATGGTTTGAGTAA